GCCGTAGGTTCTGTGGCACGTTATATATATATATATAACGCTTGACAAATACCGATTCGATCTCCAAACAGCAGATACAATGATCGCAGCACATAATAAGATGATTGCCTTTGAAGACCGCGTACAAGTATACTACTTTGTGTGTTTCTTTCGAGATTTCCGTGTATCGCCTGGTGCTAAGCAATGGCTGCCGGTAGTGCCACAGACGGGCTTTAGACCGCATAAGGTCTATTATACGTACCTTATGCGAAATTGCTTGGTGGTCTGACAACACTGAGAGGGTCGCCATTTTAATGTTGGCAAGGGTCGTCAGTTGCGAAGCATTGTGGAGGCATCCGAGACTACCGTGCGGGCAGTGTGCGATGGCGCGGCAGCTGTGCTTTTGCGCCTTCCGACCATGAAATGTGGACGAACTGTTTAAACCACTGTGTGTCCACATTGCTTTCGCTGTTCGTTCATTTCGTGGCGCGCTCGGACGATTTGCTGCCTCGGAGGGGTTGGGAGGCGCAGTGCTGACACACTAGTGAAATATTGCACATTATAATTCACTTTCATTGCCTTTCTTGTTTTTTTTTTTTTTCGCGGCCGGCCAGCAGGTTATTTTCACTCGCAGGCACCGGCCTGCTCTCTCAAAAACTGGCAGGTATAGTCAAAAGAAACACGAAGGGCCGTTTCAGCCCATGTTGTCCGCGATAGTATACAGAGAGTGCGGTTTGTACGCAATCGCGCGGTTGGGTCGCGAGCGTTGGTCGACCTATCTTCTCTTGGTAGCCGAGGGCCCACGGCACGCATCTATTTCTCTTAGCCCGGGGCAGAAAGCAGCGAGGAAACAACGACACGTTCTCCTTGCCCAGCTTAAGCCTTCTGCGTCGGTCTCACGACCGTCGGCCCGTGCGATCACATCCAAATCGCGCCTGCCACCGAACTTACGTAGTAGTAGTTTGCATGTGCGGAACGCGAAGTTATAAAAGACTCGTATCATTCCCCACTAGACCTTGCGACCTGCTTTGACAAGAGCGGGGGCTTGTCTCTCGAAAGCATCTAACTCAGCCGCGAGGTCGTCCAGCACGGAGAAAACATCAAGCATTGTTTGTGGCCTTACATTGCGGTAAAAGCCGCTACTCCGCCTGTTTACGCTCATTCAGTCAGGGAGACTCCGTGTTACCGTGAAAGCACAATGCCCCGCGCACCGTTTAAGACCCTGCATCAGCGTGCCTGCGAGCAATCGAACCGGTGAACGACCAGCATGAAGTGACTTCACGCACCGCTTCTTCAGCACTTTCCGTCTGCTTCATTTACTGCGAAAAAAGCAAACTTTGTGCCACATCTTGTTTCCATTGCTGCCCGTGATTTCATGTTGTTTGCGCAACGTGACGAAGCAGTGTGCAGGTATTTGACCGGCAACGAACGGAACGGTCGCATACGCACGAAGATCCGACCAACTCCGCCTCTCGCCTGCGTTAAAATGGCGGATGAGTTTCTTTTCGCGTTCTTTTCGCATAAGGTCTATTAGCGATCCAGCCTTCTACGATAGAGATCAGCACTTAAGAACCAAAACTTTATTTTTCAGGCTCGCAATATGGGTGTGTGTTTTGTGCCCGCCTCGGAATCCTCAAATTGATTCGGCTTCACAGTGTTTGCACCATCGGAAATATTCTGGAAGCGAGTTCCACAGGAAGGCGTTCGTGCGCTCGCGCTCTTCGAGCGTCAATCGAAGCTGTCCACGGGCGCTCTTCGCTTCCGAAATCCCACAGAAGGTTGACCCCGAGAATAGACGTTTCGTCGATCGTCACCAATCTTATTTCAACCAGTCGCGTACTCCTTCAGACAGAATTATACTGAACCCGCGAAGCCATCGTATCGTCTGCTAGCAAAGCAAATCCGGTTGTGAAACATTGCAACTGGCATTTGTAATCGCTTTAGGGCAGTGAGACGATAGAAAGGCCTTCATGATCAGATGTTAAGAACACACAATGCTTACAAAAGATTATTTACCTTTTTTTTTTATAAGACGATTTCTAACCTTACGTCGAGCCCCCATGCATTTGTCCGTAACAACGGCCTTAGCAACGGTTTGTTTGGAGCGGAGTGCCATGTAGTGTCGTCATCACTTACGGGATCAATGCCAACGTTACTAGATTACCTCAGTTGTGGAACTCTCGCGGAAGGGTATACCCCCCCTCACTCACTTCAGTCTGCCTCCCGTCGTTCGAAGCGCCATCTAGATTTTCATCTACGAACTTAGTTTTCCATAGAGAAGGGTGGAACGCCATCTAGACGCTGCGCTTCGAAACGTACATATTTCATAGAATACAATGCAGTTACCGTAGCACACGTCTGGCGCGTCGAACGACAAGAGGCGACTTGTGGTGAGTGACGGGGGGTACTGCTCGTGCATGCAGCTTCTATGAGCAGTTCCGTAACTGAGCTAATCTAATAGCGTCGGTCAATGCTAACGAGTAGGGTAAAATAACGCTTACATTTTCTCCTGCTTTTTCTCTTGCCTCGAGGTCGTCCACTGTTGGTTTCTTCAGCTGCGCTGGCAAGAAAATGTATTAGCAAAAATTCTCCCAGCAATGAGCAAAAAAATATATATCAGCACAATTTTGCGAACAGTTTTACCTGAGCTAAGAAGTCTTCGATGTTGTCCGTGTAGGTTCTTAGTATTCGTTTCTAGAAGCGAATGCAAAAGAAACAAGTCTATTATATTGAGCATAGGTCTCGGGCCCACTGCTGTGATGCGGTTTCACCGGGGCGAGTTCGGACAGGCAACAAAATTCATTCTCGGACATTAAAACAAACAACAGACGTGTGTGGCTTGCAGATTTGGCAACCTGCAAGCAACACTTTTTTTTTTGTCACTGATTGCTGACATTTTAAACGTAAGAAAAGCTTTCAAAATTAAACACTAACTAAATGGCGCGAAAGGCCGCCTAATTCAGAGGATTCACTCGTATTCATCGATCCGTGACGTCTTCATTGGCACGTCCATGACTAGAGCCACTAAATGAGCTCCGCTTAGAGTATCGGCACTCCGTTCCCCGACATTGTTGTGGGCGCCGCCATTTTGGCTCGTATGCAGGGCAGACGCAACTGCCGATCGTCATGGTTCAAAAGTGGGACTTCCTCAGCATTAGATTCGGTGTAAGGAAGCTCATGTAATATTGATTTGCTCAGTCACCAACTCTTTAAACATCTCTGGAGGGCGGAAAAGCGTTTCCTGTAATTTCAGATAAAGCTTCAGATAACTAAAAACCATGATTTTAAGACACAATATGGCCAAGTGTCGTTACTCTAAAGCGTAGCTTATTTAGTGGCACTATCCATGACTAACGCTGAAGGACTATTTAGTGAGACTGTAAATGAGACACTTGAACATCCGAAATACGTTGTCTATAGCCTTTACTATACTAAAAAGTACCAGAAGTCATTTTCAAGTTGTCTTGGTCGTGCCCGAAGAATAAGTTCGGCATCTGGTTAGTACAAAACTATTTTGGTCTTGTTCTCTGTGTTTATTTTTGACGTAAGTGTTATTGAATGGAGCTCATAAAATCGATGAGGGGAAGTGACGTACAGAAGTCAGCAGCGATACACAAATTTAACGGGCTAGCAGTGGCATAGAAAATTGTTAATATATTCGCATTCGTAAAGTGGCTTTGTTGTTTAATTAATTGTATATTCGCTTTTGTTGTTGAAAATATGGCGCCTTAATATACTTACAGAAAATGAATAAAGTAAAAATAAACTTCGAATAATCCATCAATATTTTCTGCATTATTCTTTTTTTTTTTTCGCTCAGCGAGTTATTTAAATATTATTCGGTGTACGTTCGTTGGTGTTTTGATAGCCATTCTATGAACCTTATTGGCGTAGCAGAGTATCGCGCTCCTTTTCTCTTTTCCGACGCCCTCTCATTGGTTGAGGGCGCTCAGGCATAGCCTCCTCTATATTCACAAGGCCTGACAGTTCGACCATGGGGCCATAGAGTGCCATGTCGCAGATTTGGAGAGCGAGGATCTGGTAGCACAGCACATCAAAGAGTCATTTGTCGGGGAACCTGGACGTCCTGCAAAACTTGGCGCACAGGTTTTGCAGCGGCGAGGACCCGAAACACATTAGTTCGCTCGGGAGAAGTGTGTTTCGCCGTCTCGCCGCAGCGGGGCGCCAGTCACGTGGCTCTCCTCTCATCCACTGTCTGCCGCTCTACCTTTTTCATTTCGGCGGCCGCCTCTCAAGGCGATCTGCCAGGCTTTGTCACTATGTAGGAGGCTATGGCTCAGGTGATCAGTTTATTTAAAGCCGTGCCGCTCGTCCGTCGCGTCTGGAAAGCTTGCTTTCTCTCAAACCGCTGGAGCTGCCGTCGTTATGAGCTATAGTGGGACCGATGAAACAGCTTCAAAAGCGCAAGTCACTATGCCTTGTTCGTTTACGATTGGTTCAGCGATAATAGAACATGTGATGAACTCCATGCTGATGCGCTTTTGACGCTGTCGGATTGTTCCCATGAGGCTGTGACATCTGCTGCGTCTCGACTTAAGGTGAAACAAAGTATAGGGATGTCGTGAACCTGCCGAGGTTGCAGTCGGACCGGGTTTGACTTATTTGAGCTTCTAGCGCGAAGTTTCACACAAATTCGACTAAAGTTGGACTTCCGCGCGTTTGTTCAAAAATTGGTAACGTTTTCTCTGCCACCCGGAGAAGAAAAAGTACAATATTTCCTTTTTAAAGGGTGGAGGGGCGAGTAGATTGTGTCAGCACTAGTAACAGTTCCAAACCCGCTACTTTATAGACAATGGGCTTCCCAAAATTTCAAAGCTTTGTGTTGAAGTCGGACAGCAGCGTCCGTAACTCGAACTTCGTCGAGCTTAGCTAAAATGTCGGAGGTACGCTGATTCAGTCAAACCTCAAGGTCGACAAAAGTTAGCGGCATTCTTTTGCTAACGGAAAACAGGGAGCCCTGACCGTCAACGAACAACGACGAACTTACGTTGCGGCTAAATCCGTCCTGACGATTTTTGTCGGCTTCGGCCTTTTGCAGCTGTAAAACGGAGGAAGGAACAAACAACACGATCAATTCAGACCGATCTAACCAGCCAGTTTGACAACGCCACCGCTGCCGTGATGCATCGAGGGAACTTTAGTCTCTCTGCACGTGCGGCAACCTCGCTGGAGAGCTCTGGTGCGTGCACAGTGCGAGACGGCACGAGCCGTCTTGTGCGCTAGACCAATCTCACTAAGCGTTCAGCGCATACGTGACACCGCCATAACTTTAGCCCTCGTGAAGCAGGCGGCAGTGCGCAAGACGGCTCGTGCAGTCTCGCACTGTGCACTGCTGTCTGCTTTGCGTTTTTTTTTTCGTTTTTTTTTTGTACTCATGCGCTGAACGCTCAGTGAGATTGGTATACTGTTTTGGGACATAGAAACAGGGAGTTCAGTCTATAGCCCCAGCAATTCCGAAAACTTTCGGTGAATTTTTCGGGTATCTTCTTTTTTATCTGAGCCAACAAAATAACGATTTCGTAACAACGATATGACACTTGTCGAAATTCAGTGCCCTCTGGTGGCAACTTTACTTTCTACAAACTGATGGCGGTCATGGAACTGCATTTCATCGACACCGTTACTTTCGCACGTCAATGTTGGTTACCTCGATCACCTCATAATTATTTCTTATTTGTTTCAGCTTCGACGGTGCGACGTTCGTTGTGGGTGTTGCGATAAGAGATGCGCAGCAAATTATGTTTTTTGTTTTGTCTTTTACATAAAATGGGCCATGACTGCTTGTTGTCTATTGTTGCTCGAGGTCGTGTATGACCTGCAACCGGGAGCAAAGCAGAATGAACTCTAACGCAGCTAGGTCAGTCACCTCACTGTAGATATCGTCACAGTTTGGGGAACGGGAGAGAATAAGCTCTGGGACCTACAAAACTGATTTCTCGTTTTATTGTAACTTGGCAAACGGAGAAAGCTACGGTTCAAGCGAGCCAATCAGCACGTCGGAGGAAGACACGTGACTCACTAGCTGTGGACAGTGCTGTCGAAGGCACGGGCGGGAGAAAGAAAAATGCCGCTTTTGTACAAATTTCAATTAACAGTGTTTGGGGGAACAAAGCGACGTCTGGTACACAAAAAAGAAGGTACGGGTATGAGTTCCTCCTTCCTGTCCTCTCCCAGGGTTACGTGAAAGCCACCTACGCGGTCTCGCTTCCGTACTTTTGGTAAAAGCTGTCACGTACTGATTCGTTATTATGGACGACTCACTGTATGGACAATTTTTCTGGGGAACGGACGCGTCCATATGTTATACAGTTTTAGTATAGCGCTGCTGGCTCTTAAGGCCCGTTCACACTCTTGCGACCGAGTACGACTGAGAGAGACGAGATCTCTTACAACTTCTTAAATGTTTCTAGAATGAGGGAACACACTGACATTGTGGCGCCATCTATGCGGTGACCCTAGAACTGCATTTCACAAAAGCGAAGGTTTTGCGGGATTTCCGAGGTCAAATGTGCGTAATACCCATAGAAAGGCTCGTTTATAACATTGACAAAAGCATTTCGAGCCAAAAAAGAAAGGATATTGCGCGAGAAATAAAAAAAAAAAAAAATATGCCGGACCGCCGAGTTTACCCTGCTTCCCAATAGATGGCGCCAGTGTGTTCTCTGGTTTAAGAAGTTTTAAGGAACCCAGGTTTAAGAGGTCTCAAGCAGTCGCAAGAGTGTGAACGGGCCTTTACGTACGCAGTACGCAATAGTATAGCGTGCGATAAAAACAACCTGCTCGGACCGACTTTAGTTGTGCACGTTACGCTGCTGAGTGAACATCTCGCACGATTTTTTATCCGATTTGCCGGAGCCGGAAAGCGTTGCGTGTGTACGCCAATACGCTAGCCCTTCTATTCCGTTCCACGCATGCGCACTCTTGACCCGCAATTTCGTTGCGTACGCAGAGCTTTAGCGTACGGTCCATTAAAACTGTCTGCTAACGAGACGTGACTGTGTGTCCTCCGGCTGTACAACACTAGAGCGCACGACACAAGAGCGCCGACATTAGAGCGCCGACACTAGAGCGCCACGACGTTAGCGCGCGCGACTCGAGAGCGCGGCGACGTTAGCCCGCGCGACTCAAGAGCGCTGCGAGGTTAGCGCGCGCGACTCAAGTTTTAATAGGGAGCTTGCGTGTCCTTAGAGCGCCCGTCACGAGGGCGCACAACCAGTCCAGCGCGAGTGGTCCGACCGGACCGACCACTTGTTCGGGCATCGCGTGGTTTGTGTAAAATTTGCAGGGATTTATGCCGCGGAATTCAGCAATGACATTGCGAAATGAGTCGACGAAATTTTTGCGTGTGACAAGCCAAGAAATGTTACAAAAAGCTGACAGCAAAAAAAGAAAAAAAATATTTGCAGGGTGCATTTTTGTAGAAAAATACATTGCAGCTGACCTAGCTTTATTAGTTCTTTGGTTTTTTATATCACAGACTTGCAGGGGAGGTTTTCCTGTATCCGCCAAAAGACTGGAAAGATGTGCATCCGATAAAATTGCGCTGAGCTTTCCTTCGATGAGTTTTTTACTGATATCTTTTTTTTAGCGGTGAGCTTTCTTCATTACGGACATGGACGTCAGAATACTATTTAATCTTACGCTAGGGACGTCTAAATAGCCACCAAATAGATCGGAGCCCTGATGCCTATCAAGAATAGACCAAATATTGTCACGGGTGGTGACCAAAAAACAATAAATACACAAAAGAGAAATAAACGTTTAATGTGGCGAACTTGTGCCAAAATAAAAGGAAATAGAAAGATAACAACAGAGCGTCGCGGGCGTCGAAGGCGGCGAAGCAGCAAGGTCGAACGCTGAGGCGAGACTGACTCGACAAGGTTACGGGTGGCCTCTTATCTAGAATGAGGCACTATCTCGAAGATTCGGCGGAGAAGGTTCGAGCGTAGCGCGCTCGGGGCGAGAATGAACACGCACTTTCTAGAACAACATAAGCAGGGATAAACGAGAGAAGTTATGTCCGGAGCAAGAATAAAGGAGAAAGTTCTAGAGGTCCGTGACCTTGCGCGCGGCATTATCCCCCCCTTTAAAAGCGCATCGTCCCGATGCAGCACAAAACGAAAAACAAAAAAACAAAAAATCCAAAACAAAACGACAGTAGAATCGCGAGCCACAGTTCACAGTTCAGAGTTCACAGTTCACTCGTCGACAAGAGTAAAAAGTTCTATCGTTCGTAATACGGCTTCAGCCGGACGACGTGCACCACCTCCGGTCGCGGCTGACGTCTTGCAGATGGGCGCGTTCCGTCGGGAAGGACTTCGTAGTTTAAGTCCCCGAGACGGCGAAGCACGTTGTAGGGTCCAAAGTAGCGCTTGAGAAGCTTCTCGCTGAGACCGCGGCGCCGTATTGGTGTCCACACCCATACCCGGTCTCCGGGTTGATAGTGGGCGTCACGCCGGCGAAGATTGTATCGGCCGGCGTCGACATGTTGCTGGTCTTGAATTCGTAGTCTTGCCAGTTGGCGGACTTCTTCTGCCCGTTGAGCAACCACCTGGGCGTCATCGCTTCCGTCGTCGACTGGATCGTGCGGCAACATAGAGTCTAGCATAGTCGTCACCTTCCGGCCATACACCAGCTGGAGGGGCGTCACTCTTGTGGTCTCTTGTACGGCCGTATTGTAGGCAAATGTGACGTATGGCAATACCTCGTCCCATGTCTTGTGCTCCACGTCGACATACATGGAGATCATGTCGGTGATGGTCTTGTTGAGCCGCTCCGTCAACCCGTTTGTCTGCGGATGGTATGCAGTTGTCCGACGGTGGTCCGTCTGGCTTAGACGAAGGATCTCCTGGGTTAACTGCGCCATGAACGATGACCCTCGGTCTGTGATCAGGACTTCGGGGGCGCCATGCCGGAGGACGATGGACTCGATGAAGAACTTCGCGACTTCGACGGCAGTCCCCGAAGGAAGGGCTTTCGTCTCGGCGTAACGCGTAAGATAATCTGTGGCGACGATTATCCAGCGGTTTCCCAGGGTCGACGGTGGAAAAGGGCCCAGCAAATCCATTCCAATTTGCTGGAACGGTTTGGTTGGAGGGAGAATCGGCTGAAGGCCACCTGCTGGCTTTGACGGCGGTTTCTTGCGTCGCTGGCACTCATGGCACGATCGCGTGTAGAGATGGACGGTCTTCGGCAGCTTGGGCCAGTAGTATTTTTCACGTATTCGGGCTAGTGTTCGGCTGTAACCGAGGTGTCCTGAAGTTGGGTCGTCGTGGCAGGCTTGAAAAATCTCTTCTCGAAGGCTGGTGGGGACTACCAGAAGCCACAACGGATTACTGGTTCCAAAATTTTTCTTATAAAGTACACCTCTTCGAATAGCGAAGGTCGGCAGGACTCGTGAAAAGACACGAGAAACGGTACTTCCTCGTCCTTCTAGATGCTCAATCAGGGCGCGGAGCTCCGGATCGTCTCGTTGCAGTCCTGCCATGTCGTTGGTGTCCACGGCACCTAGGAAACACTCGTCATCATCCACGTCGGTACAGTCTGACGTTTCGACGGGGGCTCTGGACAAGCAGTCGGCGTCGCTATGTTTCCGTCCTGACTTGTAGACTACGGTCATGTCAAATTCTTGCAGTCGAAGACTCCATCGAGCCAGGCGTCCTGAAGGGTCTTTGAGGTTTGCAAGCCAACAGAGCGAGTGGTGGTCTGTGACCACCCGGAACGGGTTCCCGTATATGTACGGACGAAACTTTGTGATCGCCCATACAACAGCGAGACATTCTTTTTCCGTCGTGGAGTAATTTTTCTCCGCTTTTGACAGTGTCCGACTTGCGTAGGCAATAACTCGCTCCGTGCCTTCCTGTAGCTGTACCAATACCGCACCAAGTCCGGAGTTACTTGCGTCCGTGTGAATTTCGGTTTCGGCGTGCTGGTCGAAATGTCCGAGGATCGGAGGTGTCTGAAGTCTTTGTTTCAGTTCGTTGAACGCCCGTTCTTGTTCTTCTGCCCAGTGAAACTTCACGGCGTCTTTCGTAAGTT